GGAAGCTCTGCTGTGCCATGTGAGGACGCTAATGAGAACGCTGAGCTGCCTGTCCACTCTGTGGGCACCAATGGTGTGTAAGTCTTGTGTGCTCCCGGCCTGGGTGGCCAGCCTGCGGCCTGAGGATGGAGGGGCAGGGCTCCCCGAGAGGCTGTCCCTGTGGCCGGCCAGCAGCGGGGCCACGTCCCGGCCACAGCCTCCGACGGCCACCACCTGGGGAGGCCCCGCCAGTCACGCCGCCCACTTACTGGAAACTGTGTGGCCATGTCTTGGGGTCAGTTCCCGAGCAGCCCATAAATAGCCGTTTCCAGAGGTGAGTTTTCTATTTGTGGCAGCCCCCTTCTCCGCCCATCTCCTTGAGTGATAAATCCAGCAACGAACTCAACGGCATGGTTGTTCCACAATGTTACGGTCAGAAATGAATCAAGGCCACAGTGTCGCCGGCCGCAGACAGGCCATAAACACACCATTATTAATCTGTGCTTAATAAAATGAAAAGGTGGGGCCGCAGAGCTGCTGGCTGCCCAGGTCTGCGCGGCCAGGATCAGTGGCCTCTTTGTTTGGGGTGGGGTGGGCAGGGGAGTGGTGTTGTCACCTGAAAACGGAGACTGGGTCACACCCCTGTCCCCAAAAGGCCTCAGGGTTCACCCTTGATGACTCACAAAGACAACTGTGCTGGGTGTGGGAACGCGGTGCCCGGAATAAACATTCGCCCTGGTGTGCGTCCGCTGGCACCATGAATGCCCGTTCACGCTGCAGCCTGCGTGTTCCCATCGCTGGCACGACGCTGCCTCTTCATGGGGTGGGGAACAGCGCCCGTCTGGAGGGTGCGGGAAGAAGGGACCAGCAGTGTTTGGCTATGAGAGCAATTGTTCCTGTCCTGCCTTCCATACAGGGGCTCCCTCCTCACTTTCACAGTCACCTGCCACGGTGGCATTTTTTACCTTTATTTTAAAAATCAAAACACACATACACGAAGATTCCAAAAGAATCTGTTACTTCCCCAAACCGCAGCCAATGGGGAATGGCAGAGCAAGACCACATACCTGGGATTCGGATCGAGGCCAGGCGAGGTCAGACTGGCCTGGGATTCAGGGGAGACTGAAGTGAGGGAGTCAGAGCCCTCAGAGCCACATCTGCAGGAGGACACCCCCCCCCACCCCGGGGCCCTCAGGAGCCAGGGCCAGTGCAGGGCAAGCCTCCCTCCCCACAGGCTCTGCAGGCCTCCTGGCCTGGGCTCTCTGTGGCTCCCACCCGAATGTTTGTCTTCACAGCTTCTTCCCAGGTAATCCGCCCACTGGCTTTACCCAAATCACTCAGGATTCAGAAGGAAAGAGCAGGTGTGGGGAAAAGGAGAGAGAAAAGCACAGAAAACTACGAAGAAATGATTAACAATCCTTCATGTCAGAAAGAGAAAAAATGCAGTCGTCCATTCAGAATTCCCCAGGGCAGACCCCACCAGATGGAGCCACGGGCCCCGCAGGTCTGGAACCCTGGACAGGCCCGGCCCGATGAGCCCTGCAGGGTCCGTCAGGGTTAGAACCCCCGGCAGGCCTGGCGCGCTGCGCAGCCTGAGCAGCAGAGGGCACCGGCGTGCTTTCCACGTGGCAGGACTCGGCCTCAGCCGTCCTGCTCCTCCCCGTTCCTTCTGAGCCTGGAGCGTGTGAGCCTCTGACACGTTTCAGTTCCAGTGACACATCCGGGTGGACTCGGGCTCTGACCCTGCAGTGATTTAGGAAACCCTCTAAGGAAAGTCAAACCCAGGAACTGACGGGAAGACAGCAGGAGGCCGCGCTGCCCGGGAGGGAAACCTCGGCACGTGCTGCATCCTGAAGTCTGCCCGGTCTTCTCACAAGGCCCACCTGAGCACCACGCGGCGTTTCTACTGAATAATGGCCTCACATACACGTTTCCCCCAATTTTTCTGCATATTATTCAACCACCTTTCCATGTCCGGTGACTACCTCTATTTTAATGTTATTTTCCATAGACAGAACAGAAACAAAACAGTTTCCAGGGATATGGAAAATAGGCGGGTATTGTTAGCGCTCCCGGTGCGCCTAACCCACGGTCAAGATTCCCGTGGTCCACCACAGAAGCACCTGCTTTTCCGACTGCTGGTGCACTGGGCATCGCCCACGCCGGGTTCTGAAGAAGTCTAACTCGCCATTGTGTTTGTGCCACACGTCTGTCTTCCCGTGTGTGTGGGGTGTTTATCGCTGCGTTGCTGCATTCTCGACAGGCGTCTCAACAGACGAGGCAAGGACCAACCTGCGTGTGACTTCTGGCGTGTGCAGTGGGATTCCCCAGAGCAGCCTCCGTGTCGACGCCTCTTGAGCCTTGTGTCTGCTCAGCTGCCCACCTCCTTGGGCCCCGGAGGACACTTCTGTGTTGGAACTCACCTCCAGCCTTGCTCTTTGGTGTCAGGCCAAGTGAGAGGCATGGTGCTTGGGTGAACGTTCTGGAAGCCATTCCCACACTGGGAAGGTCAGCAGTAACTCAGCCGGGACGGTGAACCCCGCGTGGATCCCACCATGCCAGAGTGAAATTCTTGCCACTCATCACTTTTCAACTGGATCTCAAAGTCCTCGTGAATTGCCAATTATAGAGAATGCAGGGCAATCAGCCCAAAACAGCTAGGAAAACACTAAGGGCATACAAATATTGTAGGTTCTCCTCTGGAGGAGCTCCTGGATAGCTGGGAAGTCCCTTGGCCTTGATTCTGGTCCCCAAGATCTTCCTAAACCCTCAACAGTCACTGAAATCAGTCAGAACAACCCCCTCAGGGAGTCTGAGCTGTGCTCGGCATGCCCACCGCTGTGCTGAGCCGTGGACACTTTGCCGCCACCATGCTGAGCAGTGGACATTTCACAGAAGAAGCATGAGCCTTTGCTCTCAAGGGGGAAGGAAGCTCACATGCAGCCTCGCAAAGGCAAAAATGAGCCCCCAAACCAGGAAACAGCCAAGACAACCTACCAGCAAACGTTAGGTGATTTAATGGGAGCTTAGAGAAGCACTGAATAAACGTTTGTAAACCGCAGAGGAAAACCCAGGGTGCGCGTCTCAGCTTCTCTTCCTCAAAGACTGCAGGGATGAGAAAGGAATTCCCAGGACAGCACCTCTCCACTCACCTGCGCTGCCCACGCCTGTCCCCTGTGACACCCATGTCATTTTCATATTGAAAATGAAAAGAGTAACTCTGACAACAGCCGGGACTTTTGAATGCTCGACACTACCCTGACTTCTTTATATATCCTTAACATATTCATTTAATCTTTGACAAAACAATAAACCTGTGATGCAGACAATACTGCAGAAATGCAGCATACAATGATCAGTCACCTTGCCAAGGTCACCCAGTCTCACAAGGCAGAAACTAGATGGCTGCAGAATTTCAGTCAGGAAGGGGCTTTGGGCCACGCTGCACCGGGGAGCTGGGACCCAGAAAACCTGCACAGAGCTGGGGTTGACTGTCTGGCCCTGTCGTGTGCAGCACGTAGACACAATTGAGATGACCTTCATGGCTGCTGCGAATGGAAGGAGCAAAAACAGGAGGCGAAGAAGAGTGTGGGAGGATAAAGCCTCCCAGCGTCTCCATGACGTTATCTGGCTCCACGGCGGCCGCCTGACCCGGACCCATGACGTCATCCAGCTCCACAGCGACCCATGACATCATCTGGCTCCACAGCGGCCGCCTGACCTGGACCCATGACGTCATCCGGCTCCACAGCGACCCATAACATCATCGGGCTCCACAGCCGCCTGACCTGGACCCATGACGTCATCCAGCTCCACGGCGGCCGCCTGACCCGGACCCATGATGTCATCCGGCTCCACAGTGGCCGCCTGACCCAGACCTATGACGTCATCCGGCTCCACGGCGGCCGCCTGACCCGGACCCATGACGTCATCCGGCTCCACAGTGGCCGCCTGACCCGGACCCATGACGTCATCCGGCTCCACGGTGGCCACCTGACCCAGACCCATGACCTCATCCAGCTCCACAGCGGCCACCTGACCCAGACCCATGACGTCATCCGGCTCCACAGTGGCCGCCTGACCCGGACCCATGACGTCATCTGGCTCCACAGTGGCCACCTGACCCGGACCTATGACGTCATCCGGCTCCACTGCGGCCGCCTGACCCGGACCCATGACGTCATCTGGCTCCACAGTGGCCGTCTGACCTGGACCCGCTCTCACAAGCACTAGGCTACCTTGCTTCCAGCACCCTCACAAACAAGGAAGCATTTCCAGCAGGCCAGCTCACAGAGGCCACTTCTGGAGATTTCTACAGGACCACTCTACAGAGCAGGACTCTGTGGACCTGGCTCCGCTTCCAGAATGCTGGTGCCCGGCTGACTGGCTGCTCTGGGTATGGTACATATGCCGGGAGGTAGCCTTTGGTTAAACTTAATTTCAAGTGTTGGATGCAGCATAAATTTCCTTTGCTCCAAAAGTTTACATCATGGCTAAATATATCCCTAACTCCTGGACACGTGGATTACCAAAAAACGTTTCAATTCCATAGTTCATCATTGACAGACAGGACATGCAGCAGTAATTTAGAATATTTCTTAAATTTTCCATTTATTGTAAATTGACCTTCACGCTTAAAAATATTGAAAGTGACATTGGTAAACCATCATGGTACCATTTACTATACTTAGGTGCAGTTTGAGCAATGAAACTGCACTCATCAGCTCAGGGATTTCTGAAACTGGAATTCTGTTAGATTTTGCAACAATTGCCATCTTAAAAAGAGCTCCAATACGCATTTCTTTATTACAGTTCGTTAAGACACGCATTATGAAGAAGATGCATACTTTTATTTTCCTCTTTGTCTCAACTTTCATGGTGTATCTTGAGAAAGATGGCGCTTGCTACCCAGGCATGGTGGTTCACTCCTGCCATCCTTGCAGTGTGGCCAGGGGTTTGAGCCCGCGTCTCTATTAAAAATACAAAAATTAGCCGGGTGTGATGGTGGACGCCTGTCGTCATTTTTTTTTTTTCCACTGGAGGACGGGAAATACATCTTTATTATGTCAGTTTAAGCCCTGCGCCATCTCACCCTGGTGTCATCTGTGCAGCAGGCTCCCCTGCACACCCAGAGGCTGCGGGGGGTAGAGGCAGGGTGAGGCCTGGCTAGCCTCCTCTCACCCCTGCTCCAGCCCACCAGTCCTGTCAGCAGTGCCTGGCGCAGCGTCTGCTTCTGCTGGGGCATCAGGCGGGTGGGGAGCTGGATGTCGAAGATGATGAAGAGATCCCCCTTCTTAATGGGGCCCTCTGGCAATGGCATTCCCTCACCTGGCACCTTCTTGAAGTATTTGGGGTGGACGATGTCATTGATGGGGATGTTGAGAAGATGGTCATCGAGGGTCTTCACCTCCACAGTGCTGCAGGCGAGAGCACCCAGAGGGGTGGGGTTCATGAAGAAAAGGTTGTCATTCTCCCTGCAGAAGTGAGGGTGTAGCTTCTCCTTTACAATGAAAATGATGTCTGCTGGGATGATGTTGGGGCCCTGGTGGACGCCTGTAGTCCCAGCTACCCCGGAGGCTGAGGAGGGACAATTGCCTGAACCTGGGAGGCAGAGGTTGCAGTGAGATGAGATTGCGCCTCTGCAGCCTGGAGGCAGAGCAAGACTCCATCTCCAAGGAGAAAGAAAGAAGAAAAAAACAGTACTTGCTAAATTGTAGCTCAGATGAATTGCAAAGGGCTCCTGCCGCAGGTGGGCAGGGAATGGCCACTCCACACAGGCCTGGCCAAGCAAAACGTGTCCAGTAGGTGCACAGCCCCAGGAAAAACCTGCAGGGCTCAAGCTCCCAAAGCCACAGGAGGACCTGAGGCTGTCCTGTCTGACTTCCCACCCATCTTCTCACTTTCATCAGCTCTTCTGTCCCCACCATGCTTATCCACAAGTGGCTGAGCCACGTCCTGGAGGTGGAGAGGGGGTAGTTCTGACCTGGGGGGGCAGCTCTGACCTGGGAGGGTAGTTATAACCGGGGGCTGGGGGGGTAGTTACAACCTGGGGTGGTAGTTCTAACCTGGGGGGACCATTCTGACCTGAGGTGGCAGCTCTGATGGGAGGTAGTTCTAACCTGGGGGGGTAGCTCTGGCCTGGGGGGGCAGTTCTGACCTGGAGGGTAGTTCTAACCTGGGTGGTGGCTCTGACCTCGGGGGTAGTTCTCACCTGGGGGGGCAGTTCTGACCTAGGGGAGTAGTTCTAACCTGGGGAGTAGCTCTGACCTAGGGGAGCAGTTCTGACCTGGGGGGTAGCTCTGACCTGGGGGGTAGCTCTGACCTGGGGGTTAGTTCTAACCTGGGGAGTAGCTCTGATCTGGGGGGTAGCTCTGACCTGGGGAGTAGCTCTGACCTGGGGGGGGTAGTTCTAACCTGGGGAGTAGCTCTGACCTGGGGGGTAGCTCTGACCTGGGGTTAGTTCTAACCTGGGGAGTAGCTCTGACCTGGGGGGCAGTTCTGACCTGGAGGGCAGTTCTGACCATGGTAGCACTGTACCCTCTCAACTTTTCTGTCCCCAAAACGTGACTCTGGACAACACCTGGAGAGTTTCACCATTGAGAGATACAATGTTTCTCCTCAATTCTGCTAGAGATAAAATCCTCTCTGAAAGAGAAACAGCCTAAGTGCTGCATGAGTTTGATCTGTCGTGCAGCCTCTTTGCAGCACAGTGGAGAGGTTTGCAGCTCCACCCCAAGCTGTGTTTCCTTTAATCCACGGTGGCTTCGGCTTATGGTTGCCTACATCGGGCCCTCACAGCTGAGCAGTGCTTCCTGCACGGTGCGGGCTGCCGGGGTTCCTGCTGGTCCACCGTCTGGTCCCTCCACTCCCGGACTGTGCATCCAGCCCAGGTCTTATGCTGGCCAGTGGCGGAGCCATTAGCAGTGATGGTTTATAGGACTGCTGCTTCCCACAGAACCTGGCCAGCATCATATAACAGAGTGAGCCCAGAGCAAGGCCGTGCCACAGCTGTGGGGACACATTCTCCTTGGCCAACTACCAACAACTCATCCACTGCCTGCCCTTAAAAGTTTCTGTTTTAGCCGGCATGTACCTGGAGGGGCCAGCCTCCTGTGAGCTCACTGATCCAATGGATTCTGCCAGCTGTACATCCGTAGTCTGCCTGGCAACGACTTCCCAGCGCCCATGGCCCCAGCAGTGCCAGAGAAGCCAACCCCCACGTTCAGCAAGAGGCTGGGCGGAATGAGATGCATGGAGACATTCAGAGGTAGAGAATGCGGAGATTGTCACAATGGCTTGCTCCGCGTCAGTCCCTTCGGAGACGACTTAGTTCCTATGCTCTCAAAAATACATTTGGATGTACAGGAAAAAAATTCAGGTTAAGGTGTCGTCTGGAGTTTCCACTCAGGTAAATTTTCTCAGAAAAGTTGGCAGATTATTTCATTACTACCAAGACCTTATTTATCATGAGTAACTTATTCACACTTAGGGCGCTATCCAGCCACAGGGGGAGTCTGTAGCAGTCCTCCCAAGGTGGGGCCACTGTTCTTTGTAAAGAGAACGTGTTGTGAACTCACTATCCACAGGCAACACACTGGGTGGGTCTGGGCATCTCAGGGGAAGTTTCTGCTTGTTCAGTGTGCAAAGCCCATCTGCTTTAAGGAGTGATTATTGATCAGTGCTGCTGAATCTCGGGAGGAAATCTGTCACTCCCCACCCCAGAGATGCCGTGTCTAGGAGGCCCCATCTCAGGGCCTGCCTCAAGCCCATGGACCTCACACTGTGCTCATTGCAACTGCCCCTCCAAGATGGCAGTGCCCTCCACCCTCCAGGCTTCCCTCTTTCCTCCTGCACTGCCATTCCTGGGCCACCATCTCACAGTCAGCTTTCTTCCAATAAGTAGAGGTTTAGCTCACAGGACAGGTGGTTCTGCCCTCTTTAAACCATCCCGTATTGAGTGCACATGATGTCGTGGAAATTGCCTTTCAGCATCCTCTGAGGGACTTCAACAATCACGGTGCTCTCCAGTCTGCATCCCCCTCCCGCTCAGAGCCACTGAGCGGGAAATGTACTTACATGGCCACTCAGTGACTATCCTCTCCACACATGCCTGTGGAATCTCCCCTAAACTGCCCTACTCAGCTTTCCTCAGAGTCTCCCCAAAGGACCTGCTCCTGGCATCTGCAGGATTCACTCCTCATCCTCGTCTGACTCCTCATTTTTTCCTATGGGCCCGGCCCCGTGCTCCCGTCTGTAGCGAGCCTCATGGAGTGTGTGTCCCTGAGTTCTGTGGACACACGCATGTAGCCTTCACCACTCCACACTGTCACACACATGGCACCACAGGGGAGACACGGGTCCAGTTACAATCTCAGCAGGAGCAGGGCTTCCGGGTGCTTCTCTGCACAAAGGCAAGTTGCCCATACAGCAGACCCTTCCCAGGTAATTGACGGTTTGTTTCCCATGAGAATTCCAACAGGGACCGTGGTACGATCCACACGTGTGAAGAGGGACCGTCCCTCAACCCACACACGTGTGAGTAAGCTGCACAGCTCCACCAGCTGGAGGTTTACACGGAGGTCTAACAGCAGCACAGGACACGTGCATTCTTCTGGGGCAGCGGTGCAGACTCATCTTCTATCATCAGGGAAGGGTCCTGAATACCACAGACAGAACAGGTAATCCCAGGACATTGGTAGATATGGTGAGAGGAATCCAAGCCCGGATTACACGACTCCTGGGGTTTCTCAGAGAAAGTGAGGTTCACAGCACCCCACCGCTGGGCTTCTGGGAACGCTATTAAGTGCTGGGCGCTTTCCCACAATCGGCATGCTCTCTTTCTCTTCTCTGGAGCCTCTGTAGCTGTCAGTTTCTCCATGAGACAATGGGCCCTGCCTAGATGGAGGCTCCAGGGTGGACAGCACCTCCTAACACACTCCATCACCACTGTTGACTGTGCCTGTGGTTGACCACTGGCCTCAAGTGCAGAGCAGGGCCTGCCCTGGCTTGTTCAGGAGTCACTCTCGGGACTGAGGCTGTGCTGCTGGCCCCCCCTCCTCCACCCCTGCTGACTGAAGAGCCACTGAGCGGGAAATGTACTTACATGGTGTTCAAGGATCATTTTAAATATGAACAGCATCCATTATTTGCAGATGTTGGTTATGCTCATGTTAGTGCATCATGTGTACATAGTGACTTGCCTGTATACACACATGCTCACATTAGTACATGCATGTGTGTTCATAATGACTCACCTGTATACACGCATGCTCACATTAGTACATGCATGTGTGTTCAGTGACTCTCCTGTATACACACATGCTCACATTAGTACATGCATGTGTGTTCAGTGACTCTCCTATATACACACATGCTCACATTAGTACATGCATGTGTGTTCATAGTGACTCACCTGTATACATGCATGCTCACATTAGTACATGCATGTGTGTTCAGTGACTCACCTGTATACATGCATGCTCACATTAGTACATGCATGTGTGTTCAGTGACTCGCCTGTATACACACATGCTCACATTAGTACATGCATGTGTTCATATGACTCACCTGTATACATGCATGCTCACATTAGTACATGCATGTGTGTACATAGTGACTCACCTGTATACACACATGCTCACATTAGTACATGCATGTGTTCATAGTGACTCACCTGTATACATGCATGCTCACATTAGTACATGCATGTGTGTTCAGTGACTCACCTGTATACATGCATGCTCACATTAGTACATGCATGTGTGTTCAGTGACTCGCCTATATACACACATGCTCACATTAGTACATGCATGTGTTCATAGTGACTCACCTGTATACACGCATGCTCACATTAGTACATGCATGTGTGTTCAGTGACTCTCCTATATACATGCATGCTCACATTAGTACATGCATGTGTGTACATAGTGACTCACCTGTATACATGCATGCTCACATTAGTACATGCATGTGTGTTCAGTGACTCACCTGTATACATGCATGCTCACATTAGTACATGCATGTGTGTTCAGTGACTCGCCTGTATACACACATGCTCACATTAGTACATGCATGTGTTCATAGTGACTCACCTGTATACACGCATGCTCACATTAGTACATGCATGTGTGTTCAGTGACTCTCCTATATACATGTATGCTCACATGAGTACATGCATGTGTGTAGTGACTCACCTGTATACATGCATGCTCACATTAGTACATGCATGTGTTCATAGTGACTCACCTGTATACACGCATGCTCACATTAGTACATGCATGTGTGTTCAGTGACTCTCCTATAAACATGCATGCTCACATTAGTACATGCATGTGTGTACATAGTGACTCACCTGTATGCATGCATGCTCACATTCGTACATGCATGTGTGTTCATAGTGACTCACCTGTATACATGTGTGCTTACATTATTACATGCATCATGCTTGTTCATAGTGACTCACCTGTATACCCACATGCTCACGTTAGTACATGCATCATGTGTGTTCACAGTGACTCACCTGAATACACACATGCTCATGTTAGTACATGCATGTGTGTCATAGTGACTCACCTATATTCACACATGCTCATATTAACAGATGAGCTTCTTGGTCTGTTGTCTTCTCCAGAGTCATATTTAGTTACTTTGATTTCTTCCATTACTGTGACTATCTGTGTTATCTGTGATTTAAAGTTCTACATGTGAAAAACAAAACTCTAATACAAGGAAATAGGAAATATTTTAGTACCTCTGTATCTAGGAAAGCAAAGCTAAAAGCTAAAACTCAGACGGGAATAACCCTCACATCCTTTAGAGCCACAATTGAAATCCATTTTCCCCAGCGTACAGTCAAGTCACACAAGACCACACTGTAAGTTTTTCTTCACGAAGACCCCCCCTCCACCACCAGAAGCAGGAGCGGGATGCTGGAGGCAGGACTTCGTCCTGGAGGGGGGCATGGCTGCGTCGTCCCTCTTCTGTCTAAACAGCGCCCCGCACCCCCTTCCGCAGCCTCCCCAGCATGATGGCCCCACACCCACCACAGAGCCAGGAAACCTGATACAGGAGTGTGAAGACTTGGGGTTCACCCCTGAGAGATTGATTGGCCTCTGTGGAGAACCCCTTGGTGCTAGCAAAAACCAAAGAATAACAATTCCACTTCCCTACAAATCAGCGGGTTCAGAGCTCTCCTTCAAAATCCTGGCCATCTCAGTGTTAAAGAAGGACCCTCCCCGCCCACGTGGCAGTCACCCAGGGGAGGTGGGAGATGGTGTCCTCTCTCCCTTCTGTCTCCCTCTCTGTCCCTCTTTCTCCAAGCCCAGTAGATCCTTTTCTCTTCCTGGCTGTGATCATGACAAGTGTCCTCATTTGTTCCTTCTCTGTCTGAGCACCCCTTTTTAAACTTGACCCACATTGACCTCCACACCATGACATCTGCGTGGGTCGCCTGCAACTCATTAAACTCCACCAGTGCAGTACGGAAGAAAGATGAACCGGGGCCTCCATGAGTCTGAGAGATTGACTCTCCGCTGTAGGTAACGGAATCATTCCTTTTGTCTGAACAGTCAATCGAGAATGAACTAAACAGAAGCGTTTCTGAAGACGCTCATTAGCTCCATTCCTCAAAGCAGCCCCTTCCCCATTGCTCCAGCCACTGCCCCTCACACGCAGTGGTGGGACCCCTGCGTGTGGGCCTGCACCAGGCCATTCATTTTTCCTCGCCTCTGGGAAGAGTGGCAACCACCACATCTTGGCGGCGACGGTGGGACCCTCCCAATGGGCACAATCAGGAGTTGGCAGTGCCCCATACCCAAGGCCCTTTCATGTAAAACCCAAGCACCCACGTGGGCTGCGACTGGCCGCAACCCGACGCCAGCAGCCACCGCCAGCTCAGGGTTCTGTCACCAGGGCAGCCCTGGCCAGCAGCGAGGCAGGGGATGCCATACTCATGGGGAGGGGATTTCATTTCTCTTCTGCTCACGTTGTTTTCATTAAAAACTTCAAAACGTCCCAAGACTCAGAAGTAATTGTAGCTGATTTCTAGTCAAGCCCCTTCATTTTCTAGAAAAACCCAAAGGATGGAAGGCATGAAGTGATTGTCCAGGCTTGGGGTCTACGGGGGTCAGGTTTACAGGACCCTGGAAACAGGGCCTGTCTGCACAGTTGCCGAGAAACTCAGCTTTCCTCTGATCAATAATGCCTCACTCACAATCTTGTCTGACTTGAAT